TTCAAGGTAGCCTATTAGAATTGTAGTCATCAAATGTGCATTCCAGACAGCAGGGAGGAAGGAGGGCAGGAACACTTCAAAGTTGTACACAAACCTTTTGATTACCTTCATTTGGTTGACTACTTGGTTAAGTGGCTCCGCTCAAGTACAAGGGAAGCCGGTAAACGTAGTCTTTCTTGCAGAATGCTAGGAGAATGGTACTGCCGGCCAACAGCAGGCTCTGCTACAGCCAGCCCATTGTGTCCTGCCATTGTTCGTTGTGCATCTTCCTCATTATCTTGCTAAGTTTCAAAATGGCAGGTGCCTTCTCTAGCACCTGGCACAGAGCATGACATATTTTAGGCACTTCATCATTTGTTCAACACACAGCCTAGCTTTTATTTCCTAATGAAAATGTAAAAGTGGCTTTAAAATATGATTAGGTATACATCTAAGAAATGTGCCTATAGAAGCTATAAGACAAACTTGTATTTAGATCTTATTTCTCCCTTGACTTCCAATACTTCAGGTTCTGTACTTCCACGCAGGGCAGGAGGAAAACACTTGAATTCAGAGGAAAGTTATGAAATACAGGTAAAATCCAAAAGCAACAAAATTGAAAAAAAAAATAAGAGGTATAAGAATTGGAGGTTAAAGAGAAATAAAATCCCCATAACAATCAAACTTAATCACAAGTCTTAAATCAGAGCAGAAATTTCGAAGAGGCCACGAAATCAAACTACAGTAGTCTGAACAAATATCTTAAGTATAACCAAATGGTTACGAACCATGTTTTGGGGACAAATTAATCCCAGCTCTCCCTTTTATTAGCTTTTAACCTTACCTGTTAATTTCTGAGCTAAAATTTTCCTTTAAAAGTAATATTCTTTCAGAATTGTTACAATGAGGAAATGAGAATACATAAAAGGCATTCAATACTGTCTACTGCAGAGAGATATTCTTTATATAGTAATATCATTCTCATATTTTATTTATAAAATTGTTTTCCCTTCTTTCCAAAATTAAGTACTTAGAAAATCTGTTTTGAAAACTGTTATTTCCCCCCATTCTACCCTTATAAGCAGATTATTGTTCCAGAGCTGGTCATACACATTTAAAAAAACTTCAGATTATACCTATTGATAAAAAAGCCCACCCACAAGTATGTAATTCTAATTACTGAAAACTCATTGATAGCAATGCGTATCAAAATCAACCTCTACTTTAGAGATTTAAAATCAAAATTTTGGTCTTATATTATGGTGACAGGTGCTGAGGCCATTTGTTTATGGTAATACCTGATTTTTCAACTCAGAGCGGGCACTATCGCAGTTGTTTACAGCAGTAAACAGTGTATCTATAAATGTAGTCTTTACTACGAACATTCTTTTGTCCTGTTCTCCTCAGTGTGAATTCTTATGTTTTTACTTTTTGCTACATATTGTACAATATATGCTTCTTGCTGGCACTTCTTAAAGAACATGTAGTTTTTTTTACAAGACTGAGCACCTCTTAAAAGATAGGAACAAGATTTTAAGTCCCTTGCATCTTCCTAGGTTATGAAACTCATTCAGATGGATGACTTCATGCTCCAGAAAATGGGCCCTCTCCCCAGCTATAAAGGATGAATCAAGAACCTAAAATAGCTGGATTTGAGAGGGGGATTTGACTTTCTTTTGTCCAATGAGACTAAATGGTGGGGGGTGGGGGGTTGGGTGAGAAAGGAGTATCGAATGGGAAATTCTGGGATTTTTTTTTTCCTCTGGTAAGGCTGAGAGTTGCCCTTACCACCTTGTTTGGGATGTATGAAGATATAATATTTGGAGCTATGGCAGCCATCTTGTGACCATGAGGCAATAGACACAAAGTTAAGTTACAGACAATGGAGCACAAACACAATATCTGGTTGATAACATGGAGCCATTAAATGAATCCTGTTGTCTCCAAACTTAAGCTAAAAGTAGGTGGTGTCCTTAAAGTTTTAGCCAGTGTTAGGTTTTCCATTACTTGCAACCAAAAGCACCTCAGGTACTATACATCCCCCAATACCCTCTGATTTTATTACTGGTTCATTATATCCATGGGTTCTTGTTTTGTTCATCTGTTACTGATTATTTAAATTTTTCTTTTACCTTCTGTAATTGATAATCCTAAAATAGTTAATTTTAAATCAACATCTAGGTAGTTCATTACTTTTATCTTGAGTGATTGCTGATAGTCATTCTTAGGATTGGTTTCGTTTTCTTCAAGTACTTTAGAATTTTGGTTTGAGGCTCATCGTGTGTGGAAGTCTTCCTGCTCTTCACCTCCTCCCTTCTGAATCTCTACTCTCTTCTTTCCTGAACTGCTTCTTCTACCACCTGTCCACACGCAGGGCTCCAGTCCTCTGGTGACAGTAGGGCTATCATAGACCTACACAGGTCTGTATTGACAGACAAGTAGACTGTCTGGCTCAGGCCCTGGCTACAATATACTACAGTCTCTACAATATACGTTATTTGGTTCATCTCAGTTTCAAGAGATTTCATATCAAACCCTAGTTTCATTACTCCGTAGGAGTTGAAATTTCTGACCAGACCTACAACTCAGGTTCTGATTTCCAAGTTCAGTACACTTATCACTTGTATTTTTGGTTTGTTTACCTTGCTTTTCAATACTGCTGTGCTTTAAAAATCTTGTCCATTTTTTTGTACTATATTTCAAATCTCCAAAAATATACATATCTACCAGGTACTCCATAGGCTAACATTTTAAAGCAAATGTTTTATGAATGAGCAAAAAGACTTTTTTTTAGGGGGCGGCTGGTGAGCAACATAAAGCTCTATGCCATGTGCCATTAATAAGTTCCAAGTGAACTGCAGAGTTTTGATGAAGAATACCCGTGTGTCCTTTTGGATGAAGAGCAGTGTCTTGGCACTCAACATTCGCAGCAGGGTTTTCCCTTGTACTGATTTTTATCCAGTTCCCCTAATTTCATGAGCTCAAAGAAAGAATGGATCAAGTCTGTTTATAAAACAGTATGCTGTCTATGTAAAAATTGCTCCCGGAAATCACCTTAAGATCCAGTCAGTTTAATATAAAATGTTTTTAATTGATTTTGAAAACATTTAAAAAACAATTTTTGAGCACTTTCAATAAAAAAAGAGAACTGAAATTCTACCGCAATATTCAACTACTGTAGTTTTAGCAGGTACAACAGACAACAAAACATTGGGGAAATCTGACTTTTTGCACTAAATGAAAACATAAAACAGGGCTTGTTTTTGTCATTTATGGTGTAGTTAAGCACATTATAGTACAAGACTCTTATATGAACCTCAAATGCACTGCACAAAACACTTTCCTTCTTTTCAGTTCAAAAGTCAGTGCTTATTGCAATTATATGCAAAATTATTTACTTCATGAAGTCTTATCATGATAAACAGTATGCAAAATGTTTTAAACATCAAAACAATGAAAATAATCTGAGAAAAAGAACATATTCAACAATAACTAAGCAGAATTAGTAAACATAAAAAAGTAAATAACTTGTGAATAACTATGCTTGCCTGGTTAACACTGAACCAGTTTCAATACAGCCAAGAAAAAAAAAGTGGTTACAGGAATACCTAGTACTGTACAAGATAAGTCAATAACACTCATGCACATTTTGTGATCATGTATTAACATGGTGAAGCAAACTAAACTTAATTCTTCCTGCTGTAATATTCTCATGTAAGAGAATAAGAAATAGAAATATCTCATTGAGATCAATGCACATTGCTACATAAGACAATTTTATCTGTCACTTTGATGACATTTTGTCTTTTCATAATGAAACACATTTAAAAAGTTTAATCTGTGGACTGTATTGGTTGCATTTATCCTAAGAGATGTGCCTACCACAGGTTCAACAAATTTAGTGCAATATATGAACCCCAGAAAGTTTGCTGGACGAATTCAACCAAATTTAAAGTGTTTGCTGCAATACTGTACAGGGGGTTAAAAATCCTCCAGTTTTTATATTTTTATCAAAAAAGATTTCCATTATTTTTATATTAGTAGGAAGTTAATAATGTAAACATGGGATTAGAATGGCCTCAAAATCTCCTTTTCAGAGTATCTCATATAGAAAGGCTCTCATCATTTGTTAAGAGAAATCACACAGTTTCCTTTGGGTATTGCATACTTTGGTGTGCAGTAGTGCTGTGTCTCAATGTACAGTGAAGAAATAACTAACATAAGAAAAATATCTAACATCATTAAATCAAGATAACAGCAAACACACACAAATGCCAATAACTAGGACATATCAATATATAAACCTCTGAGCCAACCCTAGCACCATTTATTTATCAAAATATATTAATACCCTACCTTGCAAATTTAGTGAACAATGAAACCTTATCAAATTACACCCTTCATCAAAATTGTTAAATATTCACTGATTGTAGTCTTCTGACTGGCTTACTAATGGATAAAGGAAAACTTAGCTAGGTTCAAGGTAGCACAGCAATGGTTTAATGGTAGCTTTAGAAACTTAATGGCAATTTTTAAATCTATGTGAAAGTAATCTCGAAAACAGTTAAATGGAGCTGTCAACTAGTTAGCAGAGTTGTGTCAACATGAAATTCATAAATAATTATTCATAAAACAAAATGGGAGCCACTGAGAGAAACATTTTAAAACAAATCCTGAGTGCTTCTTTTGCAATTGTGGTTATCACAATAAATAAATTAAGCATGTAATAAAATGCTCCTCTTCTTCAAGTAATATCGATACCCCCCCCCCTTTGTTTTAGCAAAGATATAAGATTTGTGGCTTCAGACCTCAGGTGGTGAAATGCATTTTGTTCAGTTTTTTATGTTATCTCTTTATGTTATCTCCCTCCTGCTTGTTTTTCAAAGAGGTCCCATGATCAAATTGTATTACTGTGTATTCAGGAGGAGCAATAGAGTCAGTTACTAAATTGAGAACTTAAGAATATTATAAAGAAACTTCAAAATAAATCTTAATAGAATTCCAATATGTGCGTGCAGCCATTGTGATGATATTTAAAAAAAAAAAAGCTTTAACTGTCCTTCTAAATTCCATCTCAATAACCAAATAACAAAATATTTTTTCTAACATGTTTGTTCTTATTCTATTAAATTACAATGTTTGGAATTATTTACTTGCGTGTATGCTGGCTCCACATTAAAAATCAGTATTTTAAAATAAGATTAATGCAAGGTCACAAATATAAATGGCTACTAGTTTTTCCTTTTAAAAATTACAGTGCAGCTTTTGCTTTCCTTAAATTAGTATTTAATTTTTCCTTATTTTTTTCCTATTTAAGCCCTTCATTGCAGGTGCAAATGGTACTGAAGTCCCAGAAAGTCCTACAGAGATTTTTCATTCTACAGTAGCTCTATGCTTCAAGCCTAAATACTTATAATAACCTGAATATTATCCCTGTTTCAAGAACTTCTTGTCTACAATTCACCTTACCTATGATTTCTTACCTAAAAGATAATGCCAACAACAAAAAAGCCTATGCCTAAAATCAATGGCTTCCTCTAAATCGTGTAGATCAACCAATGAATTAAAATGAACTTACACAAAATAAAGTTCTAGCCTGCTCTTGTAAAAGCTGGTTAGTCAATTGTTTACTAGCAAACAATGTGATTAAAATGGGGAACATTATACAATTTAAAATCTAATACTTGTTCTACAGCCTACTGTCTTTTCAGAAACTTTTAAAGAACTGAGGCGAGTCTAACCATTTCCTATTGAAGAAGAAACCACTTCTGCAGCAAACTCTTTTAAAATGTCACAATTAATAGTAAGTGTTTCTGCTGCGGGAGGCACTTCCATTAAGACAAATACAATACATATGTCTTTAGATACAGTGTGCTACATATTATAAAACACAATTTAACCCAACATTTCAACAGTAGGATGGTCCTTGCTTTCTATCCATTCAAAACCTGATGAAGTCATAGAACTCATGGATTCACTGCAAATTTGTTGAAATAATGGGTCATTCTTTAAGTCTTCCAGTGTAGCTTCATCGTCTTGTCCCTGCTGACGACCTGGATCAAACAGTAGATTTGGGTCTAAAGTGTTCAAATCGTTGATGCTGCCTGAGAGCTCAGAAGACAACCTGATCTCACTAGAGAAATCAGACACGGCGCTGGCGAGGTCAGACGCCACCTGACCTACCAGCCGCTGGCTGGTGTGCAAGCCGTCTCCACTCAGCAGGTCTTTAACAGTGCTATTGAAATCTAATTGTTGCTCTCCGATTTCTGATTGTGCTTGATTATCTCCAGGAGAAAAACTGATCTGATCGGTGCTATTACTTTTGGTGAGGTAAGATGGTGTTTGGAATTCATATACAGAAGTGCTGGAATCGATCATATTCTGAGGATTGGCACTAGGAAAAACAGTGGAAGTTTCCAAAATCTGAGTGAGATTCATCCGAGCTGTGTAATTGGAAGGCAGGTTGTTCATGCCCAAACCTCTCACTGCATCATCATTGTCAGAATCCAGTTTACTCAACAAAACATTGGTTATTTTTTTACTGTTTGTTTGCTTCTGAAGAGCATTTGGGAAGGCTGTCTGCATCATGACCGTCAATGGAACTGACTGACTTCTTTGAGCTATGTTGTTGGCACATGCGTCTGTGTGAACATTTGTGAAGACATGAACTTCTGGGGTTACTGGACTTCCAAAGGGGGTCACATTAGATCGGGGGATATTAGATACTGGATAGAGAGTGCTTCCACTAAGATTACGTTGGCGATGAACAGCAGGGCTCACACTCCGGCATCTGAAGTTGCTGCTGGCAGACGAATTAGTGCCTTTATTATCAAGAGGGGCAGGGACCGCAAAACCCTCCTGTTTGTTGGTGTTATTTACGGTGGCACCTTGATGCTGCACAGGAGAGACAGGAGTCAAACGACCAAAATGAGTGTCATGATGTCTGGACTGGGACTGATAAGACTGTCCAGGCACAGCAAAAGCATGAGGTTTCCTGAAACGGTCTTCCACGAGTTCCTGATAGCTTGGGAGAATGCCATGTCCGGAAACGGATGAGTTACCAACCCCACTATACCCATTATTCATCCATTCAAGCTTGGTTTTGTCAGGGTGTGTGGCCATGGGTCTCTGCATCGGTTTCACAGGACTACTTGAGACAATGCTGGCGTCGTGGTATGCCATACTGGAGCTGATAGGGGTAAATGCAAATGGATTCCTGCATTCAACAGGGCTGGGAGGGACGCTGCTGCTGCAGTTAGAGTGCGGAGTACCAATGGGTGTGTGTCGGCTACTTCCTAAAGCACTATCCACAGGTGTGGTCTGGGCTAGCCTGGAGCAAGGGCTCTCCCGCGACAGACTCTGAGACCCAGCAATCATTTCAGATGTTGGGGTTGGCGTTGGGGTTGGCGTTGGAGTGGGTGTGGGTGTGGGTGTGGGTGTGTGGATTGGAGTGCCGTTGCTATGGATTGGATGATAGAAGTGAGTGCTGGAGGTGTGAGATGACATTGGAGCTCCTGGAGTTACCGACTGATTCTGAAGGGTCATTCCCAAGCAGTTACCGTAAGGATGAGAATTGTTCATCGACATCTGCTGCTCCATAAGCACCAGCTCTTCCACAATACTATCCTGTGTAAGTTCATCATCAAAAGGGAAATAGCTTTCATTCGTTTGGGAAATAGAAGGCTCAAACTCTTTCAGTTCGGACTGTAGAGGTAACTGATCTGAAGACTGTGCTTGTATTTGATTCAAAGAAGATTCTTGTATCTGGCTATGTAGCTGCTGGGTATACGTGTCCTGCGGCATTCCTTCTAATTCCCAAACAGATTTCTCTAAGTCATTGATATCAGAGTGCTCAGGAATTGTCATAACACTGATATCTTGCTGTTGTTCACAGGCGGCGGACACAAACTCAGAATCCTTAGTGATCTGTTGCCATTCATTTGGATTAAAGCTGCCATCTGTTTTTGAATCACTGTCCAAGAGAAACACACTTCCTTCAAGTTTTATTTTTATGTCTGGAGATGATGATGGTGTTTGCTGTTCCAAAGCTGAATCACTGGTAATAAGAGCAGAAGAATTCAAGGGTTGCTTTGCCATTATATTTGAGTTGACATTTATTGATACCTTGCTAGGAACTGGAGCACCTGCTGTTGAACTTTCTGTTTTCCCTGAATGTGGAACCTTTTGGTCCTTCTTAACACTGCCTGGTTTCTGACCTTCTATAGTAACTGCAGAAAGCTGTTCCACAATTGGTTTCTTTACAGGAGGCACCTGGGACTCTTGCAATACAGAAGATAGTCGCTTCCTTGGACTTTTAGTGCATAATTTAGGGTCTTTATTTATTGAGTCACCATTAGATGGTGAGCTGGTGCTGGTGAATGGTAAGTTCTGAGTGGCAACTGAGAGAGTGATAGTGCTTTGATTATTGCCTGTCGAAGTGCCTGGTAGGATTTCATTACAGCGACTTTTACATTTGGTCCTCTGGTCGCAGACCTTAGTTGCTTTTATTTCAGTGACCCCTTCATTTGAAGGTTTTTGCACTAGTCCATCGGTATTACTTTTCTGTCCCAAAAGGGCACTAGGTGTTGTTTTAGGAGCTTTAGTACCATCAGAGTTCTCTTGGCACTGTACGGGATGCTCATCTGATGAGATTTCCGGTTCCATTTTGACTTCCACAGCAGATGCTCCCCCGGCACCACTGGTTTTGGATCCAGGAGACTGAAGTGAAACAACAGAACCATTCTTGATCTGTGGAAAGGTCCTTGATTCTTCTGTTGTTCCTGTAGCACTGTTTACTGAGGCAGAATGTTTAAGAGGGGCACTACTGTTGCTGGGTGTGAGGGATATTGCTGTCATTTTCACCACATTTAGAGAGCTCATGTGTGAAGTGGGTACAACAGCGGTTTTGATGGGACTGCTAGTAAAGAGGACAGTAGTTGGAGAGCGAATGGTGAGTGCACTGGTGTTGGCTGGTTTAGGTAAGATCTGAGGGTAGCGGTTCCGGGCAGAACGATCCCCACCAGGACTGGCTGGAACGTTCTGAGGAGTCTTTGGTGCCTGTTTCACAGACTGCATGTGCTGAGTGACCACTTGTACATTGAGGGGAAGAACTTTGCCATCAGAAGAATTCATTGGGCTTGGTGATGTTACCAATTGCCTGGTCCGCTGGACCTATTAAAAAGTGAAAAACAAAAAAATCAGATTTAACAAGTCTAGAATAGTAACAGTAAATCACCTATCTGTATAGTATTAAGACATTTTCATAAATGCTATGCTAAGAAGAAAAAAAGTTCCTATGTTAGATGGACGTTCTAGGTCAGTTCTATACAGACTTATAAATATAATAAATGCAACACTGTGCAATATAGTTACAAAATACAACATGTAAGGACATTAAGATAGTATATACTAAAACAATTACTTTCAAGGAGATTGTAAGAAAAGGAGATAAAATCTTGAAGAAACACGCAACTACAAAGGTATCTACTAGAGTCTGTGCCAAGAAGATGACTCACTCACAGGGAGACTGTCTTATAAATGGTCTGCTTTGGACGTTAGTAACTAAACCACAGTGGGTAGGTCTCAGATAGAGCTTGTCTCTTCAAGTTTGCTCTACAGTGAATAGTGCAAGAATATGGTTGCCAGGTAGTTCATGTTTTATGACATGATAACGATGATGATTAAGAACAAGAAAAACAACAAGATGAAATCTCTCCTCAATATCATCATCAATAACAACATAAAATACCACCCTGTTTTAATACAATAAACACATTTTAAAAGCCCCTTTCATTGTAACCTCAGTTGTGAGAGATAGGAAAGGAGAAGACCACAACCTCTATGTGTTGATAAGGAAATAAGACTTGTAACAGCTTAGGGACTTGCCCAAGGTCCTATGTCCAGCAAGCCTCAGAGCTAGGTCTATGGTAAAACATTACAATATTGCTCCATCTGACTGTTAAAAAGAAAAAAGTATAAACCCCAAAAAGTCTGCAATTGTGTCAATTCTAAAAATGACTCATCTCTTACGTAAAGCTCTGCCTGGTCTTGGATCTTTGTCGTCTTCTTACTTAACGTTCATTGTATAACTCACTTTATAATCAACAAGGTAAATTCTGAATAAAAGGCAGCCAACTAAAGCTGGTCACAAAATTCATTTATAATGAACTTTACACCTGTATTTGCTTCCTTCTAATGTACAGTTTTTAATTAATTGATCTATCTCCCACCATCCCAATAGGGCCAAACACTATTTAATGATATTACCGGAATGGGACTAGGGACAGCTGCCACGACGATACCAATAGGTTGAGGAGAAAGGATTGCAGGATTTCCATTAGAAAGACTAGTCACTCCATTGGTTGTAGTGCCTTCTGATTTTTTTGCTGAGGATTCTCCTGGCAAAGGAGATTGTAGTTTCTGTTCTTGCTGCTTCTTCTGGATTTTCCGTTGCAATTGCTGTTTAGCATCAATAGGTGATGGCAAAGTCTTCACTTGAGGCTGAAAGGAATTACTTTCAGCTGTAGGTATAAAAGCAGAAGGCTGGGTAATTCCTTTAATTCCTGAAAATAAACAGAAAGGAGAGCTAAAGTAAACACTCTCCTTCATAAAAGGCAGTTATAGCTCAACTTGAGTATGTAGCCATCTATTGGACAAAGCAACCAGAACCAGCAAATTTTAATTAACAGTTTCCTTATAAAGCATAAGTATTAGATTTCCAAGTTATAAACATTTGTCAATATGGTCTTAGTGGGACACCTTAAAATATGGTTTGACTCAGGTGACAGTTTCAATTAAACTAACAATAACAGATGACGATTTTGAATAGTACTTATGTCATAAATGTTCAGAAGCTACGATAAATAAATGCCAAGAGAGCTTGTTTTACATTTTATCAGATGTCAGAAAATTCCCTCCCTCCTTCTCTAATAGAAATCCATGCATTTTCTTGCATAACTTTAATATTCAGCCCACAAGGGGCACAAATAAATATTTACTGAAACCATCCATATCTTAGAAAAAAAAACTGTATGGGAATGTCATTAGTTCTACCATAAATTCATGAAAATAGGTACTACTACTTTAACTGCTATTTGCAAAATTATTCTAGTACAACCTATGAGAAATTAAGCAGGTTCTTAATAAGACTGAGGTTAAGATATTTTGGAAAAGTGTCACTGAGAAAAAGGAATAAAATAAACAAGGAATAAATCCTAATTGAAGAAAAACTGATCGTATAACCATTTTTTGAAAAGCTCACTTCATATTTTGGGTACGGCATTAGGGTCACTGGAGAGCAAGCTGCAGCTGGTACCCACACAGTGGAGAGGAAATGAGAGGACAGCAGCACCCTGCTGGTGCACCTTGCCATTTCTTTCCCCAGCCCTATTTCTGCTTTTTCATTGCTCAGTTAACAACAGCTAGGGGAGGGAGAGACAGGAAGGAGAGAAAGAAGTGACTGTAAACTCTCTCCCACTCCTCAATAATCACTCATCTTTTGATTCCTGCCCCCCCCGCCCCCCATACCTCTTAAGCACTATTTTTTTCCCTTCAAGTTGCTCGGCTCCCTTCTGGCCCCAGCCGCAGCTCTGGCTTCTCAGCACCTGCACCCCTGAGAGTTTCTGCCAAAGGCTCAAAGCTGTCTTACCCCTACTGCCAGGGTTTCTGGGCAGGAATGAGTTCCAAGCAGCTGACTTACAAAAGAACATTTGTAACACAACCTGTTCTCTATAATATGGAGGCTACTTTTATAAAAAACCAAATTCACCTTCAAAGGATGAAGATTAATCACTACAAAAGGTATTTAAAAAAATGTGAGAATGGCTAAGAACAAAATTTCGAGAGAATCTAAAAATGTTTTGAGTTAGTAATGCAATTTTTAGTTAACTTCTTACTTTCACAAAGGGAAAACATGTTTACATTTGTAATTCTTTGTATTTTTGTTTAAAAAACACTATTCTTTACATTTTATGTTTTAAAAATTCTTTCAATATTTCTTCCAGACTTTGTGAACAATGGGGGAAAGATGACAGGGATGTTTCTTTTTCCCGTAATACCTTCTAAGTTCTCAACTTGTTAACATACCCTTCCAGGTGTGAGCAGGGGCAGGAGAAAAGGAACACAGAATGTTGAAGGGCCCTGATCTTTTAAAATCTCATTTTGCCAGAAGATAAGGAAACGGTATGGTGTAATTGAGTTAAACTGGGCTTTTGAGACAGACCAATCATTTCAAATCCTGGCCTCACTACTTATCTGCCCATAGAGAAACTGCTTCACCTCCCCAAGTCGGTTTCCTAATCTATAAGATGGGACTAAGTATCACCTCCCTTACAGGACTGCTGGGGGAATAAATGGGGAGATGTATGCAAGCTACCTAGCTAAATAAGGCTGCCCAAGCACTCTCCCACTCATGAGTAAGTACATGCAAACAGATCTGGGTCATATGGTTTACACTCAGACAGGAAAAATTATGACAAGTCTCTAGTAAGAGATTATTTTGCTGAAGTGAGTCCTCAACTGACCATAAAATGAAAGGACAAAACAATTACATGTTACAGCACCCCCCCCAAACTTAAAAGCTTCTGGTAAGTATAAACTAAAAGAAAAAAGATTATTAAAATGATTAGGATAAAAAAGTAAAGTTATTTCAGAGGCTATAATTCTGGCTGAGATAAATCTTTTGTAAATTTAAAAATATTTATATTAAATAATCAGAAGAATCATCTCTGGAAAATGAGTTTTATCTCCAGAAAACCAGTTTTATGCTAACACATTCTTCCCCAGAGAAATTATAATTCCCTAGAGTAATTTCACAATTTACTTTTTTTGGTTTACAATGTATGACCAAAATGTGACATTTAATAAATTTTATGAGATACTTTATATAACCATTAATTTAGAAAGAAGTGATTTATCCCAACAATACTGTCAATTCCTAAAACTGTCAATTCTAAAATTCCTATTTGAATGAAAATACTCATTTGCATATTAAAAATCACTCTTGCTATTTTATAGTAACGTTTCATACCGTTTATCTATTTTTGGATGTTTATGAGTTTATCGGAGCCAAACTGACCACATATGCAGGGGAGTAACAATTTTGTAGCTTCTTTTATGATTTGAAATTAAGGAGGGAACTACATGGAAGTGGGAGAAAGCAAGCTGGGCACTGAATTACAGGGCTGTAAACAAGATTATGTGCTCTCCTGAGGGTTAAGACCCCCTGCCATGAATATTCTGGTATTTCAAACGTATATTAACATAGATAACCTAGGTCTGGCTTAAAAACTTTTAATAAAGAAGTTACAGGTCTGGGGCATGACTACCACCATGATCTGCCCAGTTAGGAATTTTCTGTTTTTTTGGGGAGACTAAGGCATTTGTCACATTGTCCAAAGATCATTTTATTCATAAGCATTTGTTGCCAGGATAGGAGTCTTTTAACTAATTTTAAAATTTATGCTTATCTAATATTTATTAATTTAGATACACATATATACTTAACAGTACATATACATGTATTCTTTAAATTTTAAAACAACAATGGAGGAGTTACTATCAAGTGGGAAATCTTAAGTTTCATACCTCAGCAGAGCAATATACCTAACTACAGCTTTAAGCTTTAAAATGAAAGGACTGTTATAATTACTACTTTTGTTGTCTATAAACCAGTATGAATTTATTGTTAAGTGAAGAGCGAACTCATACAAATACTAAAGACCAAAGTTCTTTGGCTAAACTCCTCTTTTCCTCCCAGCTCTAAAGATAGTAACACCCCTGTCAGTTTGACCAGTTAACAATAATTTCGTACCTGGTGGTGCTGCTGCCATTACAGTGAGAGCTGCCATTGACTTGGTGCCGATGTAATGACTTTTTACAAGGAAGCGGGCTAATTCCAGGACCGTGTCAAATGGCTGGCTTAACACTTTCTGGGCCCATTCACACACAAGACGGCAAGCAGAAGAAATAACTTCCTCGTCAATATTTTGAAGCTGCCCAGAAGGTTCAGCTCCTTCCAACTAAACAAAACAAAACAAAAAAAGTTAAATTTCAAAAGAAAGTTCAGAGAAATTAAACTGAAGCATACTCTTACATGGACAGCATAATCCAAACTGTTAGGTCAAAGTACCAATGAAGTGACCTGTTGGCAGGCACTGTAAGAGCCTTGTAAATAAAAGGCCCGTCTATGCCTAAGCCCACCAACACACAGCTTTGAGCAGCACTGTGAATACAACATGTAAATGGTTGTTTAAATCTTTCTAAAAGTCTTTTCTGATATCAACAAAACTCTACCACTAGTCATATTTCCTCTTCTGAAGACATTTAAAATATATATATTATTCTGTAACGTAATTGTTCCTCCTGACAATATTATATATCGTCATATATATAATGGACACATCTACAAAGTGGCAAGTTTAGGTCTATCTTGTTCCCCCTAATTTCAGAAGTCATGTTGATTTAAGTCATATACACTAACGTTTTTCAGCCACTGTTGAAATTTTTTCACATTTATTTTATAAAAGGCAGAGTTCCTGGTCCCTGGTTTTATCCAAATGAGACTATGCAGCATGCATGTAGATGTTGATATAAAGGTACAATTCAACTTATTAAAAAGAAAAAGCAGACTTCTTACCCCATCTCCAGTTTTGTGAAAGTCAAGATTGGGCAGTGTTGGCATATGAACAAAAGCTTTTTTTCTTAGTCCACTGTAGCAATATGTAATAAGCAGTTAAGGACGGAAGTATTCTAAATTAAATGAACTGCTTACATAATATTATTAGCACTTGAAAAGTAACCGTATATGAAATGAAAATAAAATCAGAATGAAGTAATATCTACTTTTTGAGTTCTTCAGTACAAGAAAGAAACCTTAATATTATAAACTCAGGATTTTTACTCCCTTGAAATGGGAACAGTCTTTGTAGAATGTTACTGTCTTAAGTAAAACAAAATAATTCTCATCTGTTATAAATTTAATGAATAAATGTTTCTAATAAGCTGTGCCAACCACCAGTAACAAACAGGTCAGAAGGAAAGAAATATCCAGATGGAAACCTGGAACAGAGAAGGGAAACTTTAGCCCAGGGCACTGGGACAAAAACAACTCTTAAGAGTGTCACAAGGGCTTTAACCTTTTCATTTCTCCTTTTCCACTGAAACACACAGGATTATCACCTGCAACATGCCAAAGACACATCAAGACATTGTTGTTTGTACTCAGAAAACAAGGACAGGTCATGCAACATGTGATTAAAGAACACCTGGAACCACTTTAGAAAAGCAGCCTTCCACCATCCCCTTCCTCTCCTCGCCTCCACAATAGTGAATTTTTATGCTGTGAAAAAGGCCAAGAGCTGGCATGGGGCGGGGAGGGGGGTGGGGGAGGGCGGGGGTGGGGGAGGGAGGGAGAGAGGGAGGGAGGGAGGGAGGGGAGAGAGAGAGTACTTCTATTATGACAGAGACCCTCTATCTTCTTCCAAGAGTAAGAAGAACTTTAATAAATTAATTTTCATTTCCTTATTTCCTATTTCTCTTTGCTCCTAAGTATTTCTCCATGACAGGAGGAACCTAGCTTTAATTTTAATACAGACTTTAAATGGTTGGATGAAAAAGTACTTTAAAGCAGGGGTCCCCAACCTCTGGGCCATGGACCAGTACCAGTCCAGGCCTGTCAGGAACCAGGCTGTACAGCAGGAGGTGAGACTGAATGTAATATGCTTGAATCATCCTGAAATCAACCCCTCAACCCTGGTCCATGGAAAAACCGTCTTCCGTGAAACCAGTCTCTGGTGCCAAAAAGGTTGGGGACCGCCACTTTGAAGAGAGCACTAATATTCCAGTGCAAGTTCCACAAGAAACTTTTTTGAATGTTATATATATTTTATAAAGGAGAGCCTTATGTTTCTAAGTAAGAGGAAGGAAAGAAAGTAAGCTAACATCTTCCTCCATTTTTATTGCTAATTTACAATTGCTGTACTGTGGCATGCCTCAGTCATTCTTAGTGTTAAAGAAGAGATCAGACCATTAAGAACACATTACAGTGAAAGAAAAAAGGTGAAATCTATCACAGTCTTTTTTTTTTTTTAATATCACAGTCTTAATAACTATTATTTGTTATTTCTCTTGCAGTTTGATAAGTAGCTGGGAAAATTACATTAGTAATTACTCAACTAAGTACTTTTGCATTGTTTATATTTACTGATTTATTTATTTCTAAATATAGTTGCTGGTTGAACTACAGCAGCAGACGTTCTGTAATATGTGAAAATTTAGAGAATCCTAAAGACCATCCTGGTAAAGGATATTTAGATTTGCCTCTTGTGCCCAGGCGACGTGCCTTCATGTTTGGAAAGACATTTTTCATAATCTTTCCAAAGTCAGCAGCACTTAGTGGGTGGTAACCAAGATTGTCACAATAGCTCCTGCAAAAGAAGGAGGGACCAGTTTAGAGAGCAAAAGAACTCAGAGTTATGCAGCACAGTGCTATTTCAATACAATTTGATACCTTTGACAAAGTGAAAAAAACCACATCATCTTCAAGCCATTCACCACAATCTTCACTGATATATGATCTTCATTCTCTGGAGACTAACTCAGGGTTAGTTTATTTTGTCCTCAGGGTATATCGCACTACTGTCTTCAGTAGCATTCAAGAAACTTTCAGTGAGAGAGATATTGGTGGTATAAAGTTCTTCAACTACAGCCCAACCCTGCATTCTGAATTGAGTATATCCTGCTCAAACGGTAAGGCTGTAAGTTTCCACATATGTATATACAGATACACACACACACACACACACACGTACATCAGATACTAGAGACAAAACTACTACATGGTTTAAAATAGAAACATGATATATTAGAACGAAAAGGGATCCTATAGATCACCTATACCAACACGCTTATTTCACCCACTAAGGGAAAAATGAAGCCACAGAGAGAAGTTCCAAAGGTTCAGTGTTCTCTCCTGACCTCTACCCTCCTTACTATTGCCAGGAAAAAAGTACTTTGTAGGGCAGTAACTTCAAGTGAGACCAGGGAAACAAACTCAGTCTTAATTACTCCTGGAATCAGCTGTTGTTATTCTCTAAAGGTGCCAGTCACAGGTAAAAGGACAATCCCTCCTCTACCGGCTCAGATGCAGGCCAAGGCTGTATCTTGCTGTGGCTGCCATGACCTTCCTCACAACCACTGACCTTTCAGAGAACCACTATCTGAGAAATACCAAAGAGGAAGTCCCAAGTACTTCGATCAAGCCTCCCCACCTCATTGGCCCCTGCCCCAGTGTAGCATCAACCAGAGCTGCTTCTTGATAAAGACATGCATGTGGTGGAGAGCTGAAGAAAGAGATTTAGAATGAAGAAACAAAGGAAATGAATTGGAAGGCCTGCTGGGCAGGGTATAATTGTAATTGGGATGAGTTCTTGTAGACAGCTCAGTAAATACCCTGGCAACATTCCTGAAGTGACCTGAACACAAGAAGTTGAACTGGGAGATCTTCAGGATGAGGCAGGGAACCCTGGGAGTCTTAATAGAGAGAAAAAGGATAGGGTGGGAGACAATGGTATTTTTCTTGATCATGCCCTCCCTACACCCACACCCAAACCCACATTCCTCTGGTGGGGGGTACAGAGGGGAAGAGATGCTCAGCAGACACATTCCCAACAATGCTGAAGAGCAGGAAGAAGGGAAAGGAGTTAACACACGTTGAGAGTTCCCTCTCCAGAAGTATCTAGATACATCATATTTACACTGAGACTAAATGCGATACTCTGGTTCAGGGATCAAGGTTTGAGTTATAACCTGAAGGGGTGACTATTTCTGAGCTGACAATTTAATGAATTGTAGTAAGTCATAAGCATTTTGGCAGCAAGTTAAAGGAGTCATCTTTATGGCTTAGACCAGTCCAGAAAGAAAATGTGAATGAGCCTTATTCGTACCTAAGGCATTGCACACAAGCTATTTCCCATACCTAGACCATTACTTTTCTTACTCTTCAAGTCCCAGCTTAAATGTTACGATTTTGAAAGGATCTCTTCTATCTAAAGCGATGCCCTCCTTCCACACCTAACCACATTCCCTATCAGTGTACCTATACTAAACAACAGCCAATTTACTTGTCTCCTCAATTGGGCAGTAACCATCTTACAGGGGTGGGCAAAAATAGGCAGGTTTACAGTTGTAATATAAATAAATAATACAACAGTTAATAATATAAGAATAAACTGTTTCACACACTCACAACTGTAAACCTACTTTTGCCCGTCCCATTTCTCTGGTTCACCATTGTATTCTCAGCACTAGGAACAAGATTTAAGAATCACATTGAGCCTTAATGTGACATTGAGTATTTCATATTTAAAATGCGAGAAACTTTAAAGAAACACACAAAAAGACCAAAAAAAATAAAAAACCAAAAACACCCCAAACCCCACAAACCCTCCAAAGCCAACACCCACTGGCTCCTATGATTGCACAGGCACATGATCCTAAAGACACTGATACCAAATAAAAGGAAGCAGGGCAATAAGCCTAATAAGAGAGAGAATATATCTATTCTTATTCTCTCTCTGTGATTAAATTCTGATTTTTTTCATTATAGTAGCATACCAAAATTTTTTAATTTGGTAGATGTGATAGGTAAAAGGTTGGCAAAGTTAACTATCAAGATGATGGCCAATTTGCTTGTCAAATGGAACTAATCCTGAGTGGGATTTCAGATGCTGACCATTTTCATCTGCATTTTGATTCTTAATTCTGTTACAAGAGAAGAATTCATCTTTGGAATAATGATTTTTTTTTTACAATAACCTTATCTTTAGTGGATAAGTATAAAAAAAATCTCGTAGACATATAAACATCTCAAATTATTCTTCCTGAATATAAAGGAGAAAAAGTTTAAGAATAAAACATCTTATGATTCAAAATTCTATAGTGTGACATCTTTTATGTCAAAGAAAAAATAAAGAGAGCCTCAACTTAAAGGCAACAATAACAACACTGGAAACATGTCCTCTATTGCTTTAATTTTGTGAAATCTTAGAACTGAAAATAGTTCGGTAGTTGCATGGCTCAGCTCCCTGCCAGAGTCGGAAATGGCCTTACTCCCTAATGGTGGGAGGGCTCTAGTGAGGTGGTCTATCCGATTTTCAGCAGTTCTCATTTTCAAAGAAAAAGAATTTCATTGTTAGAGCCCCTTCCTCATTGGGAAGATCTAGATAGTTAATGATTCTCTTTTTAATCTAATTCAGTAGGTATTTATAAGCTACCTAGTCATAATTTTTAAACCTGGTGCTACATGACAAACCATAGGTCATTCCAGGCCACGTGGAGATCTTGGTTAGTTTGTGTCTCGTTTTCCTGCTTCATAACTAATGGCATGTCAATCAAGCAAGATATGAGTTAGGTGTCAATTAACACTAACACAGTTCAGATTATATTTATGTAAAATCAAAAATGGGGGAGAAACAAAGAATGTTCTGTTTACAAGATAATAAAATATTTTAAAGCCATTCTTAAAATCAGACCTTTTGTCCCACCTTTTCTCCTTATTAAATATTTTTTTAAAAATGTTTTTTTATTTAACAAAGACAGAAACATCAATGTGAGAGAAAAATATTGATTGGTTGCCTCCCACATGTGCCCCAACTAGGGACTGAACCTGCAAGCTAGGTACATGACCTGACCAGGAATCGAACTCCCAACTTCTTGGTGAATGGAACAATGCTCCAACCAACTGAGCCACACTGACCAGGGTTCTTTTACTCTTTTTTAAAACTATCTTTTAAGACATGAAATCAAGCCTAACATACAACATGACCAGTAATTAACATGTCACTCAAAATCCTTGGTAGCAAGTCAATTTTTAATGTTTAATCATACCACTTACAAATCAGTAAGTTAAAGGTATACCAGTATATTGTTTAATGGTACAAAAATATAAACAAAGATCGTAAAACACTAGTGGCAAAATACAGAGTAGGGCAAAAGTGGGTTTACAGTTATTCATATGAAAATTAATACAATAATTAAAAAATAATACAAGACCAACTCTGTGTTTTGCATACTCACAATTGTAAATCTACTTCTGCCTCGCCCTCGAGTCTTGGTTTACCAATCCATACCTCAACAATTTTTGTCTGTTTTTATGTATTACATCATTTAATCCTCCTAGCAACCATGAGGCAGACATTTTTTCCCCCTTCAGAGCTATTTCTATATTCCTTTGAGACACTAGGTTTCCAAACTTTATAAAGGAGCTCCTATTTTCTTATAGATATAAAAAGTCCTCAGAATTATTTACACAAAAACATGTACACATACTTCATTATTTATAGTAAATATGACTATTATTTATAGTGCCTGAATTCAATGAATGCCAATTGATGGGGATGGTGGTAAGCAATCCCTAAAATGCACTTAAGCTATCTCACTGTTATGGCATATTAATACCTATAAAACGTGTGTGATGTGAAAAGGTCATGTACACTACCACACAGAAAATCAAGGAAGACATCATTACATGTGCATAAAATGTTACCAAGTTTAATTAATTTATATACTTTTAATTTGGGCAGGGAAATTCTAATTGGCATATTCTTGGCCATGGAATCCTACAATTCATGGCATACGAAACTTATGTTTTAATGTATGATTTCAAGATCCATACTTTGATTTTATTCTTTTTTTGGTGGCTGAGTAATATCCCATCGTATACACGCACAATTTATTTATCCATTCCTCCACTGAAGGACACTTAGGCTGTTTCCATTATCTTGACTAAATAGTGCTGCAATGAATATGAGGTTCATGTATCTTTTTGAGTGTTTTGGTTTTCAGACACTCAGAAGTGGAATTGCTGAATCCAAGTAGTTCTACTTTTAATTTTTGAGGAATAATACATACTGCTTTCCATAGCGGCTACACCTATTTATATTCCTTCCAGTGGTGCACAAGAATTCCCTTTTCTCCACATCTGCTCCAACACTAGTTACTTGCTGTCTTTTTGATATGGCCATTTTAACAGGTTTGAGGTGATTCTCTCTTTGTGATTTTTATTTGCATTGTGATGATTAATGATATTGAGCATCTTTCATATGCCTGGAGATCTACCTGTATGTCTTATTTAGAAAATGTCTATTCACAGCTTCCTATTTTTTAATTAAAAAAAGGTTTTTTTTTTGCTATTGAGTTGTATGAGTTCTTTAGATGTTTTGAGTATTAACCTCTATCAGATATACGATTTGCAAATATTTTCTCCCTTTTTATTCTGATAGTTCCCTTTGTATGCAAAGCTTTCAGTTTGATGTAGTCTGACTTGTATTTTTGCTCTTGCTTTTACTTCTGGTGTCACAATGAAATCATTGCCCAGATCTATGTCAAGGAGCTTACTGCCTATGTTTTCTTCTAAAAGTTTTATGGT